CCACAATCCCCAATCCTCTGTTTGGTGTGTATTGTTATAGAGGTTTTCTTTTTAGTCAGGGTGCATGTCATCAGCACAGGGCCAATCAGCGCTGTCCAGACAGAGGGTCAGGGGTCATGCAGCCTTATAGGACCTAAGGGGTTAATCCTCTGCATTGTGTAAAAAGTCTGTTTGATCCTGACTTCTCTGTTCCTCCCCCTCTTCCACAATCCCCAATGCTCTGTTTGGTGTGTATTGCTATAGAGGTTTTTTTTTAGTCAGGGTGCATGTCTTCAGCACAAGGCCCGATCAGCGCTGTCCAGACAGAGGGTCAGGGGTCATGCAGCCTCATAGGACCTAAGGGGTTAATCCTCTGCATTGTGTAAAAAGTCAGTTTGATCCTGACTTCTCTGTTCCTCCCCCTATTTCACAATCCCCAATCCTCTGTTTGGTGTGTAATGCTAGAGAGGTTTTTATTTTTTTTAGTCAGGGTGCATGTCATCAGCACAGGGCCAATCAGTGCTGTCCAGACAGAGGGTCAGGGGGCATGCAGCCTCATAGGACTGTCAGAGGAGAATGAAAACTCCTACTACAAGATTAACTAGTGCTCGGCCGGACACTGATAGAAATCAAAAGACTGATATATACTGCTGATGAGAAAAGGTACTTAGTAGTTTAAATTTACTAAAATAATAGCATTTCCATGCTCTGTGTACTGTGGAAGACCGGATATAGTGAATGCAGGGTCCTGGGTTTAGTAACACTTTAAATTTTGTCAGATTCCTGCCAAATCAGCAGAAATTTGAGCTGTGGTCTAGTAACACTTTAATTTTAAAGACTATGTTTGACTAAAGTGTATATATTGCCCAATTTGTTTTGTTTGCAAAGTGGGGAAGGGTTAGAACCAGTTTCTAGTTGTTGCTCTCTCTGCCCCTACTGGCCTCTACACTAAAGTGACAAACATCTCCACAAATGTGGTTGACCCAATAAAACACGAAGATTTAAAGCTTGATTCTGGTCAGAACCCCTAGGTCTTGCACTGCATGAGAGCGACTTTAGGGGATCAGTTGTTTTGCAGGGAAGGGAGGTTGGGGGGGGGGGGGGGGTGATGTGGACCTGCGGGAGCGATGAATAACATAAGTTCATAAGGAAATTGATTGGGATTTATCTTTTCTGTACCAATTGTCAATTTATAATGACTGAGACAATGATGTATTTCTTTGACATTGATGTAAACAGGTGGCCCATTTTCAGAATACCCAGCAACACTGCCAAGGCAGTTGTTAAAAGTAGAATGAAACTTAAAACAATGATTGTCATACAGGATTTATAGTACAGGATTAATAAAATCATTTCTATATTATTAAAGACAGTATATTTCTTCACCTTTTACATAAAATTTCTTTACAGTTACAATATTTATACCTTGACAATAACTCCATCATCATTTCAATTTTATATTTCTATTAAAAATCTATCTATAAAAAATTAAATTAAAAAGTCCCCATGTCTTTGTATTGTTAGCTGTGCTTATTGTTTCAGTATTTGAAATAACAGAAAATATCAAGTCTTTATTATAAAGGTATTTGAATGATTTTCTTCCATTGAGAACAATCTAGCTTGAAATTCTCTCCGATCCATCTCAGCAAACTTATAGCTTTGCACTAATTCTCTTTAGCACTTTGCTGTCTCCTTCCTGCTGTGGCTGAGGATAATACGCCCACTGAGCTCTTGTACTGGGAATGCCAGCAATGGGAGCCTGGATGGTGTTATCAGGAATGTTTAAAGGCGGAAACTACCTTCAGGGCATCATCTTTCACCAGCTTGCACAGCTCCAGTAACTGTAAAACACAAAAACAAAATGATCTGTAAGCATGACACACAGCTATTTACTGTATGATAACTCACCCAGACCATAGGACTAGATTTAATGCAAACTCTGCAAGCAACCGGGACTTTCCAGCTGGTTGCTGCTACATAATCAGTACTCTTGTATAAATATCACAGCAATAGAAGCATTTTATATAAATACTGTATAATAATAATAATGTACTGGTATATTCCTAAGCAGCAGGTTGCACAGTGTGGGTTAAAGCACCAGGTGACCTGTATCACATTCTCATCACTGCATGTAAAGACATTTTGGAGCTGGAAATTTTTTAATTTATTTATGTACTTTTTGGTATTGACTATATTATATATTGAATGCGTAAAGAATTTTTGCTTGAAAAGCAAATGTTCATTCAGCTTACTAGGCACGTGATGCTGTTGGGTTAATTACTTTACTTTGTAAGTTCTTCTTAAAGCGGAACTATTCTTATTTATTTATACCAGGTATTTATATACCACTTTACATATTTATTACACATTCACATCAGTCCCTGCCCTCAAGGAGCGTGCAATCTAAGGTCCCTAACTCACATTCATACATATACATACACATACTAGATACGAGATAAAAGAAATCCCTGAAGTATAAAGCGCTAAAATGCTTATCTAACTTATCCTTCTCTAACTTGCAAATATTCTTCTCTCTACTATCAGTCACATTACCAATTTCAGGGCACAGGCAATGAACCTCTGCCAAAAAGGAGGTGTGAGTTCTAGTTTTGGTCTGCCATACATCCAGCAGGTCATGTGATCAATGAATATCTTCTGTAATCATCATATGGGAAGGCAATAAGTTTGTGAGAGTGTAGGCATGCTTTAACAGTTGCTGGGTATATTGCTATGGTTTAATGGCTGTAAAGTGCTTCATCTTCATAGCATAGCAAAGCATGATATTCTTCACTATGTAGTGAGTTAGCAAACAGTAAGTGGATTCAAACTATACTTGGGACAAACATAGATCTATACTCAGCCTTAAAAAGTTAACAAAAAAAGAAAAAAAAGAAAACATGTATAAAGAAAAAAAAACAATGAAGAGCAGACCACTCAGTCTTTTTTGTGAAGCTCCTTATGTTTCTATGTTAACAGTGGAAGAAGCTAAGCTGATCAGTCTACACATATGTATATACTGCAGGTATACTAGGAATTCATATCATCGATATAAGTTTGTAGTCCCTTAAAACAGACTGGGGTAGCCTTACTAAAACTGGTGCACTCAACATCTGGTGCAGCTGTGCATGGTAGCCAATCAGCTTCTAACTTGTTCAATTAAGCTTTGGCAGTAAAACCTGAAAGCTGATTGGTTTCTATGCAGAGTTGCACCAGATTTTGCACTCTCCACCTTTAGTAAATAGCCCCTACTATGCACTTCTTCTCTCCCAACTTCCTTAACAAACAACCAAAGTCTATTTTAGCTGTTTAGCTATTTATGTTTTGTTTTTCTTTATGACTGCTCACAAAGCTCTGGTTTACAGGTTATACTGTTCTGTGCATGCTAAAACAGTACTGTAGTAATGTTTGCAGTTTTATTACAGAATCTACCCTAGTTACATTGTTAAATAAATATTGGTTCGTTCTATTGTGGGTGCACTTTGTTAAGTGAAAAAGGTAATTACAGTGGATATAAAAAGTCTACACATCCCTGTTAAAATGTCAGGTTTCTGTGATGTAAAAAAAATGAGACAAAGATAAATAATTTCAAAACTTTTTCCACTTTTAATGTGACCTACAACTGTACAACTCAGTTGAACAACAAACTGAAATCTTTTAGGTGGAAGGAAGTAAAAGTAAAAAACTAAAATAATATGGTTGCATAAGTGTGCACACCCTTAAACTAATACTTTGTTGAAGCACCTTTTGATTTGATTCCAGCAATCAGTCTTTTTGCGTATGAGTCTATCAGCATGGCACATCTTGACTGGGCAATATTTGCCCACTCTTCCTTTCAAAAACACTCCAAATCTGTCAGATAGCGAGGGCATCTCCTGTGCACAGCCCTCTTCAGATCACCCCACAGATTTTTGATCGGATTCAGGTCTGGGCTCTGGCTGGGCCATTCCAAAACTTTCACCTTCTTCAGGTGAAGCCATTCCTTTGTTGATTTGGATGTATGGTTTGGGTCATGCTGAAAGATGAAGTTCCTCTTCATGTTTAGCTTTCTAGCAGAAGCCTGAAGGTTTTGTGCCAATATTGAATGGTATTTGGAACTGTTCATAATTCCCTCTACCTTGACTAAGCCCCCAGTTCCAGTTGAAGAAAAACAACCCCAAAGCATGATGCTGCCACCACCATGCTTCACTGTGGGTATGGTGTTCTTTTGGTGATGTGCAGTGTTGTTTTTGCACCAAATGTATATTTTGGAATTATGGCCAAAAAATTCAACCTTGGTTTCATCAGACCAGAACACATTTTCCCACATGCTTTTGGGAGACTTCAGATGTGTCAAAATTTAGCTGGGCTTGGATGTTTTTCTTCATAAGAAAAGGCTTCTGTCTTGCCACTCTACCCCATAGCCCAGACATATGAAGAATATGGGAGATTGTTGTCACATGTACCACACAGCCACTACTTGCCAGATATTCCTGCAACTCCTTTATTGTTGCTGTAGGCCTCTTTGCAGCCTCCCAGACCAGTTTTCTTCTCTTTTCATCAATTTTGGAGGGACGTCCAGTTCTTGGTAATATCACTGTTGCGCCATATTTTCTCCACTTGATGATGACTGTCTTCACTGTGTTCCATGGTATATCTAATGCCTTGCAAATTCTTTTGTACTGTTCTCCTGACTGATACCTTTTAACAAAGAGATCGCTCTGATACTTTGGAAGCTCTCTGCGGACCATGGCTTTTGTTGTAGGATGCGACTAAGAAAATGTCAGGAAAGACCTACTAGAACAGCTGAACTTTATATGGAGTTAATCAGAGGCACTTTAACCATCTCCCATCCGCCATATAGTCCAATGACGGGCGCAAGGTGGTTCTCTCGTTCTGGGAGGACGTCATATGACATCCTCCCATTTTCACTGCGCATGCGCGGCTCCGGAAGCACGCAGTGCGGGATCGGCGGTGCGCTGTGTCTCTCGGACACAGCAGATCACTGATCCACGGAAAGAGCCGAACACGTCGGCTCGGTCATGTGATCAGCTGTGTCCAATCACAGCTGATCACATGTAAACAGGGAAATGCCGGTTATCAGCATTTCTCTCCTCTCGAGCTGTCACGCTGAGGATAGCCGGTAATCAGCATTCCTTGGAGGGGACATGTACACTGATCATCAGGGCACTGATGATCAGTGTGCCCTGATGATCAGTGTGGCCCCAAAAGTGCCACCTGTCAGTGTCCATCAGTGCCAGCTGTAAGTGCTGAACAGTGCCACGTCCCAGTGCTTATCAGTGCCACATCAATGCCACATATCAGTGCCTACCAGTGCACATCAATGCCACATATCAGTGCCCATATGAGCTGCCTTTCAGTGTCACCCATCAGTGCCAGTCAGTGCCACCTATCAATGCCAATCAGTGCCACCTATCAGTGCCAGTCAGAGCCGCCTATCAGTGTGCATCAGTGCAGCCTATCAGTGCCCATCACTGCAGCCTCATTAGCGCACATCAGTGAAGGAGAAAAATCACTTATTTACAAAATTTTATGACAAAAACTAAGAAAAAACATTTTTTTTTCAAAATTTTCAGTGGTTTTTTGTTTGTTTAAGAAATAATAAAAAACCCAGAGGTGATTAAATACCACCAAAAGAAAGCTCTATCTGTCATATGGGTACAGTGTTGCATGACCGCGCAATTGTCATTCAAAGTGTGACAGCGCTAAGAGCTGGAAATTGGCCTGGGCAGGAAGGGGGTATAAGTGCCCTGTAGGCAAGTGGTTAAATGATGGCAGGTATGTACTGAATCCTATTTAACATGATTTTGAATGTGAGTGCTTAATTCTGAACACAGCTATATCCCCAGTTAAAAGAGAGTGTGCACACTTATGCAACCACATTAATTTAGTTGTTAATGTCTACTCCCCCCCCAAAAGATTTCAGTTTGTTTTTCAATTGTATTGTACAGTTTATAGGTCACATTAAAGGTGGAAAAGGTTCTGAAATGATTTATCTTTGTCTAATTGTTTTACATCACAGAAACCTGACATTTTAACAGGGGTGTATAGAATTTTTATATCCACTGTAAGTGAAAGCTAATTCTTCAAATGACTGCTTATTATTTAATTCATGTTATTATCTATGATAGCAAATAGATATTTTATATACTTTTACCCTAAACAATGACATTTTTATAAGCATATGTCTTAGCTGTGTGGAGTTACTGAAACTAGATTTTCTTCTAAAACATTTTTTCCCATCCAGTCCAGAACCAGAAAAATGTTAGCCTTTCATTGCTGCATCAGTTTAACCAATAAACATTTTTTATTCTTCAGTCTTCTACTTCTAGATTTTTGTATGTTTGTGATAAAATCTGCATTTTCTCTTTATTCTTAAGTGGTATTTTCTTCTCTTTTACCAGGACAATTCGTCAGTCAGAAGGGAATAGATTTTCTCAGTATGAGGTCCATGGGTGTATTTCCTGAAAAGAAATAATTGCTACTACAAACACTGCGAGCTAACTCACACATACATTTACAACAGAACATAATCCAGCTCTGGTATCGAGAAAGAGCATGGGAATAAAACAGGAAATATACAAGGTAAATCAACTAGAATATATTCTCAAACAACAATACCACTGCTATCACTAAGCCTTCTGGGGTTAATTTACAATGTGAGGGGGGGAGGAGCAGTATCCTTTATTAACAAATCTACCAAACTTCTTTGCTTCATTTGAAAGAATAAACTTGATTACTTGCCATTAGCAAACTGCTCCACGTTTGCTCTAATTTATTGAAAATCGGTCCCTGAATCATGATCACTGTTTGCCTTACGTATCATTGTGTGAGCCAACTGCAGCCAAAATGTGACCTCACAGCAGGCACTTAGGAGTCAGTATTGCTGTGATATTTGGAAAGCAAATCTAAGTGTCAATTCACACTTTATCAAATATGGTATCAATGGCAATCTAATTAAGTGTGTGGGAGTAAAGGTGGTAACACATGGACTGAAATTCAGCTGGTTCTGCAGGGACCAGCCAACTCTCAATCCATGTATGGGCAGGCTTATTGTTCACAAGTCGATCTATCATCCGACTCGTGTATCAGTCTGTCAGATTTTTCCCTAATAAATTGTGCTGATCAAGATATTCTGAAGGTGGGACAGTCTCCCCGAACATGATAGCATAGCAGCAGTGATTCCCCCATCTCAAATAAATATGGGGATGGGGGAATCTGATCATTTTTTTTTCGTTTAACCCACTGGCTGAACAAAAAAAAAAAAATTAACAGATTCCTCCATTCACACTATACAGTGTGGATGGATGAATCTCCTGCTGTGATGTGGCAGCTGTCAGAAGAGCCAAAGAGTGGTGGCATCTGACTGGATACAGCTGCTGTTTGACAGAAAATGAGCTTTGATTTTGCTTGTTTTATTTTTTTCAAACAAAGCAAAGACAATTAACTAAGTATTGAAAATGTTTCATGCTAATATTGTTCTTCACAAACTCCAATCTCAATACATTTTAGCTGTATATAACACAATGTTACCCATAGTAACCTTCTATTTGTTCTTGTGGGTATATATGGAAAACATTTATTAGAGACAATATGTGGCTCTCCATCTTTGTGTATCAGTTTTATTTTTGGGTATACCCTGATGTAATTCAAGGGCTTTTTTTTTTTTTTTTAAGATGTTATGATGCATTACCTTACTGTTTTCAAGAGGTTTAGAAAGTTGTCAGATAGTTAAGGATGATGCTGGGAGTTTTACAGACATGGAAGAATGGGATGCTGTGCATTGGAATAATGTACAGATGAAGGGCTTGTTTACATTAGACGCATTTAGGTTGACTTACTAAAGGAAATAGACTGTTCATTTCAAGGGAATTTCCACTTTTCTGGGAAATTCTCCTTAGCTTTGTGAATGAGGTGAACCTTAGTTGAATTTCACATCTAAATATGTGTAAGCAAATAACATCTCTATTTGTCCAAGTGTTTGTTGCCACGGAAAGAAAATCATAAAATACCTTTGTATATAGTTGCCCTTGAAACAAAGGGTGAGGAGAAATCTTCCAACAGGAATAACTATTCCTACCTAAAGGGGAATTTCCCCTTATTTCTAGTAGTGTTTCTGAGACAGAAAATAGGCCTGATCATTACAAAAAGCTGACAAAGGGGGGAAAAGGTGCTGCCTGTAGGTTTTCAACTTTTATCAGTATGCAGTTTAGAAAAACAAGCCGTAAGCTGGCCATAGACAATTTGAATCTCGGCCAGTTCAGCAGGGACCAGCTGAGATTTGAACCATGTATGGGAATGTGGAATGTACCCAAGTTGATCAATCGATCAGCTTGGGTACTACCAGCCTGTTGGATTTTCCATGCGATTATTGTAATCACTGTGTTCTCCCACCTTGTCTATGGCTTGCCTTACATTTTGCTATGGGCAACTCCTCTTTGTAATTCAATGAGCATAAGCCCTTGTTTATCATCTGTGTTCTGCCTTTCTTGATTGTCATCAACCAATCAAATTCAAGCCTGTAATGAAAGATGACAGTTGCAGAATGAATTTTTGATTAGTTGCTGTGAAGCAATACAGACAGTTCTATTGAAAGAGATTGCAAAAATTGTGTCTTCATATATTTTATGGAATTTATTTCAATTCATTGTTCAGTAACTGTAAGAATATATGAACTATATATCATGAAAATGTTTATTTACAGTGCTATCAATGGTTAATTTCTGATTGACACACCTATTCTCTGTAGCATGTTGAGAAATATGAGGCGGCTTTGTGCCTGCCTGGTGGATGTTGAGTGTCTCATTGAATTCATAGTTGTGTTTAGCCTCGGGGCTTCCTGTGTTCTTTAGGAGATAATCGTTACCTCTATTGTCTAGAGGAGTGGAATACTGACCTGAACTTCTTTAAGTTTCTATTTTTTTAGTACAATTATAGTTACTTTGCTGCTGTTTCTTTTTTATTACAATTATTATCTTTACTAGTACCATAAGTGAATGTCCACACACACACATTTTGGTTGTATATAATAAAAACTGATGTGTGATGCTCAAAAAATATATCTCAACAAAAAGATACAATACCCCACAAAGCATTAAATGCAATTAAAAGTGAAAATCACACATAAAAAAGTGACAAATAAATAAACAAATAAATGTTCATGAACTAAAAGATTAAATGAAGTGACCTAAAAAAATAGTGACCAATAATTATATGTGATTAGGTCACTTCATTCCATTTGTCACATTTTTATGTGTGATTTTCACTTTTAATGTAGTGCTCTGTGGGGTATTGTATATTTTTGTTGAGTTCTATTTTTTGGGGGTACTGGCAGCGCAGGCAGGAGGAGGATTTGTCTTCATAGTTACACATTTTGGTTGGCAATCCTAATTAATTCAAGGGGATTTCCATAAATATAGAAAATTGTTTTATCTTTACTTCTCTGTTCAAAGGTCATTCAAAATCTTTACATGTTCCAGACATTCTGACTACAAAAAGAGAAGGGATTTTCAAGCACTGAAATCTGAATCTTCTGAGATGACAGTTCTGCTTTTTGCAACTTCCTGTCCAAACACTGTACTCCTAAGTCATGTGATGTGCTACCAATACCAAACCTTTACTTTTAGACCTTACATACTAGCTGTACCAAAACATTCAATGTTTTGTAAAATTATGGTCATCCCACCAATATTGATATTTCTGTTCTTGGCAATTTCTGGCATGTTAATTTAGATGATAGCATGTTATATAATGTATGTCTGTGATTATTGTGGCAATGTATCACTAAGTGTATTCTGAGTTCTGCACAGCTGCCATAGGTACTCCAAAGCCAAATATTGGTAGTATGCTTCACTGCTGGTTGTCAAAAATGTGGAATAAGTAATTACATATTGATATGGGCAGTCCCATGGATTACAGCTGCACTCCATCTGATATGACCAAATAAATGGGCAATGCTCATAGAAAGGATTCTCCATTCTGTACAGGATTGTATTACTCAATTTTATAACAAATAGATCAGTTGGCTATCCTTTAGGACAAACAATACACCCACTGACCTGTCCCATACCCCAACTACCACAACCTTCCTTCACCAGCATATACTACCTAGCCTCCCAGGGCCTCGTGTGACCTGTGCAGAATTAAATAGATGTTTGTTATGTAGAATTCTTCTGTTATACCTGCCACCTGGAAATAATAAGCTTCGTTTTACCATGCCTTTGTCAATATGATACCCAATCAGAACTATGTTACTGTTTGCATACTCTACTTCTGTCAATACGATAACCAATGAGAGCTAAGTTATTGTTATAAAACGATAGTAAATGAAATACATAATAATGAAATCTAAGAGAGGGACACCTCCGAAACAGAATTGTGGTATTGTGAATAAAGAGAAAAGACTGCAATGGGATTTTACCTTTGGAGCCTCAG